AAAAAAATCCAAAAAAATATCAAATTTATCGCGAGGTCGTCAAATAGCTCAAAAAATCCCCCCCCCCCCCCCCCCCCCCCCCAAAAAAAAAAAAAAAAAAAACACAGAAAAGTCAGTGGTTACAACTTGACAAATTGTTAAAAGGGCTTAAGGGGAATAAATTGTTTTGCAATGCACTGTATCTGGAAACAAATATAAAAAACTTAAAGTAAACAAATCAAAATGTAAGGTATAAATGCATAAAAGTAATGCTATTCAACTCTCTTCAGCACTCGAGAAGTTCCAAGAAGTTCTGTTGTTGAACTATAAGTCCTTCCGCAAGTGAACCTGGCACACTACTCCTCGCAGCCGTTTCTTTGTTTTTCTTTTTTTTTTTGATCAGAGTTCAGAGCCGCGCCACTGCTTTGGAGTGTTAAAGAGACATGATGTGGATGGATGCGGGGAAAAATAGCATTACAAACAGACTGCATTTGCATGACTTTCATCAGCCCATCTCCAGCCGTCAGAAGTGCCTGTTACTGATTGGGTTAGAGGGGGGAAAAAAAGGTGCAGAGTGTGGAGGACAGAACAGGGAAGGCGAACTGAGCCCCACTGAATGTTCATGTTTGATTAATCAAAGTAGAAAGGAGTTTTTTTTTTTTTTTTTTTCCCCCCCCCTCCTGTAATTTTGCAGTGCTGAGGGCTGCAGAGCTGACCAGAAGCGCAGGCTGATACAAACAAGATAGCGAGAGGAATATGAAACGAGGAAAGAGCTTGCGTACATGTCAGAATGGACGCCTGAAGTTTTATCCTTATCTGAGGCCTCAAGATGGGCGGCGATGGAAGATGCATGAGAACTCGCAGAACCTTGCAAAGTATTCATACCCCTTGAAGTTTCCTACATTTTGTCACATTAAACCACAAAGCTTAAGACTTATCTATGGGGTTTTTAAGTGACAGACAGAGCATAATACAAACTGAGGTGGAAGGAAAACTATGGTTCATACATTTTGCTTTTGTTTTGTTTTTTTAAATGAAGAAAAATCTGAATAATGTTTGCTGACCATACATCTTTCAATCCCTTTACCCTGTTAAACCCAAATTAAACAAATTTTCTTCGGAAGTACTACAGCTTGAGAGTAAATCTGTGCGTAATTTAATCTCATTAATTTGTTCTGTGAATATCTTAAAATTTAAAGAAATTTTAAACGTCAAAAGTTTGTGCACCGTGCAACTTGAGCTGGCACACCAAGGAGAGAACACAAAAAACAAATCGTCCTGTGGCGACTCTGGAGGAGTTGTGGAGATCCACAGCTCAGGTGGGAGGGTCAGTTACACAGAAACAAGTAATACCTCATGATAATTGCTTAATGCAGTTTGTGTTGCAAATGTACCTCTTAGCAACTTCCAACAATTTAGGGCTGAAATGGATAATCAGATTAATCGTGATAAATCAATTTTTGTAATAAACGTCAACTAATTTAGCAATCAATTAATCCATAACTGGAGTATATAGATCTCAAAACAGGCCATTTGCTGAAAAAAAAAAAAAAAAAAAAAAAAAAACTAAAATAAATAAATAATTGCCGTGTTTTAGCTTCACCTGGTTCAAATTCAGTGAAATAATCCCATTTTTTAATGCGTTTCTAATCTGTAAAATGTGCCGATGTTGTTTATCCGTTTATATAATTGTCAGAATAATCTGTTAGCTGAAGCCCTGTCAGAATTTCATGATTTATGTTCTTCAAAATACTTTAAAGAAATTTGAAAATGATGCATCTATAAAGAGGCGGGGGCGGTGGGGGAGGGGGGGAAATACAATGACATCTAAATGTAAAATGACAAAATGTGAAAAAAAAGTTCAAGGGGTATAAATATTTTGCAGGGTGCTGCATCTACACCCAGAGAACTCGGCAGAGAGAAAATGTGGCTCGTTCTCCTGTTTACTGGCAGCGAAATGCAAGGGCTCCGGAGAAACCAGCTCAAAACTTTAAAGTTCAGCTTAACAAACTCTGAAACACCCAGAGGGTATAGCCATGCCAACAGTGCAACAGCAGACTTTGAGTATGATACAAAAACAGTACACAGACATTAAGCAGTGGACAGCCATCTCAGCTATTCACTTGGATGTATAATTCAGCACCAGCGATTAGTCTGGATCTTACAGAAGCCAGCAAGGAGGAGGAGATGGAGGGAGGGGAGCGAGGGGAGGGTCGTACATTGCACACAAGAGAGCTGGACGTGAGGCACAGATGGGCGAGAAAACACACGAGAAAGACGGGCGGAGATGGAGAGAAGCCAACCGACGGACAGACTGAGCGCATCGCACACTCACAACGCTCCTGTTTAATGTCAGTCGGTGGAGATGAAGCCCGAAAACCGGCGTCCAGGCGTCTCCGAGGAAATAGTAAGAGACGTGTGGAAAGCTGACATCAAAAAAATAAAGGGGAGCGGCGTGACACAAAACAAGCTGGATGGGCCTCGGAGCGGCAAGCTGTGCAAAACATCGAAACCCTCGAAGAGGAGGGGAAAAAAAAAGAAAGCGGGAGAGGGGTGATGAGACAAAGCCTGAGTGACCATGTGGGTTGGATAGTGAAGGTCCACCACATACGACTTAAAAGCCGGCCCTTTTATAATGTATGACTGAGACAAGGCGCAAAAACATCCGAGGAAATGGCAAAGAAAGACAAAAAAAGAGTGGGGGTTGACTCTGAATCTCGGAACGAGGCCAAAGCAGCTCGGAGATCTGAACCGATACACAGACAACAAGAGTTGAGACGGCCCACCCTGCTGTGCAAAAAGCAGCCTGCTAAACGGCTGCTCAGAAGCATCGGGGTTGTTGGCTCCGGAGCCAACGGCGTGTGCCAAGAATCATTCAGAGCGGGAGAGTCCCCAGAGCTAGCTTCTGCTAGCTCGCGCCTTTTATTTCCTGTGTTCAGAGGGGCTGTTTAGGAGGCTAATTTAACAGGCAAACAGATTATGTTAATCCGTGTAAACATTCAAACAACAGCTTGGCTGCCATCCGGGGGGAAATAAACAGTTGAGAACCAGCATATTGATACTGAGAGCTCTGGCATCTTCAAAAAGGCAACACGAAAGCTGTAATGAGACTTGTTGAGCGTTTAGTGCTTTTTTTTTTTCCCTGCGCTTCCTCTACTTTGTTTTTTTTTGCCACCAATTAAGACGTGGAAAACATGACACATTGAGACCATATCTGGTGGTTGCATTTTATCTAAACTTGAGAAGAATTGAGGATGAGGGTACGGCCTTTGTTTTTGGTTCTGCTCTGATGCATCGAATAAAGATCTGACAGCCCCAATTTAAAATTATCTTCCAATCACAGACTTTTTTAAAAATTATTTTTATCAGATTACAGTTTATATTTAATTTAAACTTGGAGCCACAAAGGGATATATTTCAAGCATTTATGTAGATTAAATTAGATGGTTAAGGCTTACAGATAGTTCAGCCCCCCTCCAAGAAAAAAAAAAATCTGTTTCCAGAATCTTCAAATAGAGCATAATGTGATCAATAAACAATTTGAATACGAAAATACAAAGTTACAACATACACAATCCTGGGGAAGGCTGCTGATTTGAGTCACTGATACAAGCCATGGAGAGGTAAGGCAATAAAGCTCCAAGGGCAGTACGCAAGTATTTTCAACAATCTGGAAAGTTGAAACCAAGGTAAAAGGGTGGTAGAAAAAAGGAAGAAAAGTAGATCTATGTACTCAACTCTTGGCTAGGGCTACTTGCATAAATTATTGTACCACTGTACCATCAGCTCTGCTGATGTGCTGCTTTGATGACAACCTTCAGCATTCTTGCATTGTTTGGTCCAGTGAACACAATCACTTCCTGGTCATTAGAACCAGGTACTGGTACTTTTGGTAGTGTGAGCAGGTGCCGAGTGCTGCTGGAAAATGAATTCGGCATCTCAACAAGTCCTGTCAGCAGCAGATTTCTTGATAGATGGTTGGACTTGCTTTGGATCTGATAATCTGCAGTGGACCAACAGCAGCAGATAGCCTGACACCCCAACTAAACTCTGTGGAAACTTCACACTGGACCACAGGCGACTCGTATGCTAAGCCTCTCCACTGTTCCTCCAGATGCAGTGACCTCGATCCAACAGTTGCAGCTGTTGTCGTGGATACATCTGCAGTGGTTCTGGACATTCTGAACAAGCCTTGTAAATGTCCTCCTAAGCTCATGAATGGACTTTGCTTCACAATCCTCAAGGCTGCCATTATCCTTGCATGTGGGGCTTTTTCAACCACATTTTTCCTTCCACCTAATTATCTGTTAATATAGTTAGATTCCGTTTTCAAAACATGCAGTTTATGCAGTAGAGACCACTTGTGATTTACCATCTTTGTGGAGGGTATCAGTGACTTGAGTAATAACATTTCTCTACTAAAATCGTTTCTTTTATGCATGAATAAGTAATATTCAGATTTTCTGAAACTGAATCGTGGGTTTTCTTTAGCTGTAAGATCTAAACGCAATTTACTGAAATAGACCTGTAAATAAGTCAAATAAACAGCAAAATATGCTTATCCCTTGGGAAGCGTACTGAAGCGGCGGAGAACACACAGCCACCAAATGCAATAGATTGAAGAGGGGAGCAACGGGGCCCTGCTAATGAGGGCCAAGGTGTTGCTGATGGGATGTGGGGAGAGCCAAAAAGGGCCCAGAGAGGTGTGAGGGGCCTGAAGAAGGTTGGTCACGACTTATAATAGGCACCCCGTGCTCTCAGGCCTCGTTAGACGCTCGCACCTATCTTCCCGACGGAAGAGGACCGGGCAGCCACCTTCATTACCGGACTCACCTCAGCCTCTCACCTGACAAAAGTGATGGCTTCCCCGCACGCCCAACGCACCCTCTGACTTATTGTTAAGGCAAATAAAAGCCACGGGAGAGAGATAAGATGTCATTTGGTTGACGGGAGTGATAAATACGAGAGGTCAGGCACCTTCATCATTAAAAGGTGAGAGAAGGTAAGAATTTATTATCGATAGCTGATGGGGGTATTACTTCACGAGCCGTCCGAGAAAATGCCCCAAGCTTCCCGCCATTTTGGTTTCGCTCATCTGTTCTTTTGTGGAACTCTGGTAAGTCAGGAGGCTTGTATTTTCCTACATGAAGAAAAATGGATGTTGATTTTATGCAAACAAGACCAGGATGTGGTCGATACTTTCTTCATAAACTTTCTGAACTGCTGCCATCAAGTAAAAATCAATAAACTTAGAATTAGAAAACTTTATTTTCTCCCCAAAATTTCAGATAAATATTATGATCATTTTGGTGGCATATTGGGTGAGAAACTGGACACCAAATGACACCAACGGTTTAACCAGGCCATAAGGTCGATTTTCATCATTAGTGTCTAAATTGCCTTTACCATCCCTGACTAAATCCTGCTGCTCGAAGCTTTGCTAACAAAGTTAGAATGATATTAGGGTCGACACAAGCTGAGATGAAGAGACAGAATTATATAATTAGGAGTCAGAAAAGTTAGTTCGAATTAGTACTGCGTTTTAATCTTTAATTGCCAACATTGTGTGCCGATTACTAACCCTCTGGTAAAGGAGGTTTCTGCGAGCCCGTGGAGCTGCCTTTGCTCCGTCTGCTGCTGTCACTGTTGACCGACAAGCTGGACTTCAGCTTCCTCTGCACCCTGTGAGACACGGGCATGGACGGCTGCCTCCTGGGCTGCTCTGTCTGTGGCATGGCTGTCGCCGGCGCGTGCCCGGGGCCCGACCTGCCCGCCGCGCTAGCCCCGACGCCGGCGCCGCAGGTGCACGTCCTCGTGCCCTCAGGGCTGCCGATGCCGGAGTGGATTCCGTTGGCGTTGGATGCTGTGGGCGTGCCGGAGCTGTTGTGGGGAAAGCCATTTTGGTCCTTGGCAGTCTCTCGCTCCGCCTCCTCAGAAGGCGCTGGCTTCAGGTCAGACTCGGACCGCGGCTGAGCTGTTGAAAATAAAGGGACAGGATGTCATTTTGAGCTCTTTGTTGTCTTCAACAGAGCTGCACAACATGTTGGATGGTGAATCACAATTCACTGAAGGAAAGTAGAGAGTCATCAGCAAGGCACATTCAATAATAGAATTATAATAACATGTTTCTTGATTTTATAGAGGCATTTTGTTGTTTCTATGGCTCAAACTTTTGTTGGGCATCTTAAAGCAATAACTTAAAGCAATAATGTGCAATGCCACTTAGGAAAACTGATGGCTATATTTTCATATATTAACATGTCAATATTCATTAATAGGTACTGTCAATTAAAAAAAAAAATAAACTGGAACTTAAACTATTTAGGAAATTCTTAAACTTTCAGCCCTCCTTGCGTCTTGCACTTTATCTGCCGCCACTCTTAACAAGATAATGTCAGTCGTGTGACTAATATTTCAAACCCAAAAAAGCGAGCGAAGAGCAGAAACGTACAACTTCACATGTGAAAGAATCATGAAAGCCACCTGTGTAGTCAAACACATTTGTGGCAGCAGCTCCTTGGTGAGTTAGGTCGGCGTGAGACGGAGAGATTATTAGAGTAAAAAAAAAAAAAAAAAAAAGAGGAAAGGCAGCCCTGTGATAGTGTACAAATTTGTAAAATGGCTGCTGTCTGCAACAGTAATGATCTTCTCTCCTCTGAAAGCTTGGAGATGGCCTCAACCAGACTTTCTAAGTGCGTGTGTGACAGTCGCAGAAAGCCAAGAGACAGCAACCTGTCTGATAAGAAGGGAAAGGAAGGATGCGAGTGAGGAAAAAGGAGGTGGCATTTCACTGAGAGGAACACCTTGCACATTCAGCTCTACTGGGAGTTAACTCCTGCTTTAGCTTCCCTGCACATCAGAGCTCCGGTACATGTGCACACGCTGCCAGATTTTCTGAATTATTCATCTCTTTTTTTTTTTTCTTTTTTTTTTTAAGTTTCTCTGAGTGAACCCTTACTTATTTTAGACCTTATATGCATTGTCTATATGGCATCGTTGCAGCTAAGCTTTATATTCTGTCACATTTACCAGCTGTTGTAACAGAAACCTTTGCAAGCCTCCATATGTTCCCCCGCAAAAAAACAACAACAAAAAAACCAAAAACATACATTTTCCTAAGTGGATGCACACATGGATGTTAATGCGATGCTGGTAATTTGTTTCCATCTTTATTTTCTTTCTGTCAGCTCACCAACAAGTGCAATTACAGTTAACAAGAGAGCAGGAGTGTGGGAATGGGGGCCTTGCAGTTTTTAACAACACATCACCCTGGGAGAGGCCGGACGTGAATGTGGATGTAAAACAAAGCAATTAAATACGCACTCTGGGCTTTCGCCTTCTCCTCATGCAGGCGTCTGCGTGCTGCTTTAATAAACAAATACAGACTTTGGGGATCAGGATTCCATGCAATTTGAATTAGACAACTGCGTGGCATACCACGGAATTCATTATGCAGTGATTTAAAGGCCAGGTTGTTGGATTTTTTTCCATCTCTGAAAGACAAAAAAGCCAAAAGAACCCCGTCCATGACAACGTATGGAGCGACTGAATCATTCCTAACAAGGATAATCGCAAGAGGGTACATCTGTTGCTGCCTTTCACACATTTTTAATAAGTGTAACTTTCCTTTTCCTCCCCCCCACTTGTGTAGTCAATTTTGGTCTTGTTTATCAGTGTCAGCACAGTGTGCAATAGCAGTGTTATCACAGTTTGCGTAGCTTCGGGAGCTGACGGAGGGATATTTTTTTATTTATATATCGAGGAATAAACTAGCGGCCCATCTGAATTTATGTGTTTTGTTGCAAAGAAACAAAACACATCTATGAGCTCGAAGGCTCATAGAAAAAAAAAAAAAAATCAAAGTATAATTTTATGGGTGATATTGCCGATTGTTTTTTTTTTTTTCCTATTGTATTTGGGTTTACATGCAATAAAATCTAATTGGAATCCCTTTGCTGGAACAAATTACAAAGACCGTTTTATTCCTGTCAAATATCAACTTTGTTGTCCTTTTTTTTCCTCTCCCTTTTTGTTTCTTTATTATGATTAGGAGCTCAGACCTTTCCAGACTTTTAAAGAACTATCAAACTACCCGAAGATTTTGCACATGCAGTTGAAAATTATGACTAAATGTAACATGAGCTTCATTGGTATTTTTGCATTCATTTGTGATCTCAAAATATCTAAAGTAAATATTACATACAACATCGTTTTACATTGGTTTTACATAGCCAGTGGAATACAGTCACTGCATCGCAGGGACTGTATTTTAGGACAGTTGAGGTGGATTTCAGCATCCAGCCAGAACTGAGTGTCGTTGGGAATAGAGCCACCAGAGTTCTCCCTACTGGACCCGGTAACTCCGTGCCCCGAACTCAGATAAACATATAGCAATGGATGGATGGTAAACCATTTCACACATTTCATTAACACAGTTTAGCACATAATTTACTTCAAATTTGCAAAATTCAACAAGATGAGTGATGGCTAAAGACTTCTGCACATTAAATAAACCCACGTCTTTAAAGATCAGTCTCTGTTATTTTACACATATGGCACTAAACCCCCGTACACCAGATACAATGACACCGAAAAGGTAATATCAAAGCTTTATGTATTGAATAAAACGTAACAAACTCATCTCTATATCAAAGCAGTTTCTTATCCAATTTGTGTAGTGCCATAATAAGCTTAATAACAGCCATTTCACGTTATTTAGCTTAAGTGAAGCAGCCGCATGGACTCTCACATTCAAACCCACGTCGATGCATAAAAACAGCCAAAGAAGACTGGGAGGCATAATTGCCTTCCCTTTGCAGGAAGTCAACCTTCCAATTTGCCTACATATAAATACTTATTAAGAAACCACCAAGTAAAAATTAGAGTACATAAGCGGTTAGTCGGGTTTCAGATACAGTGCAGAGCTCCACAGAAGTGGCTAAACTCAGCGGAGTTCTGCTATTCGGTAGCAGGTCCTCGGTTTGGACAGTAATCACACAGTGGCAGTCTTTTATTTTTAACCTGCTGAAAATGGAGACTGAGATTAATGGACACAATGGAGCAATATTCATAATCATTGATCATAATAATGATCATACTGTCAAAGATGGCAATGACAGACTCGTACAGTCACCAGGAGACAAATGAAGAGATAATGAGAAAAAGCAGGAATGAGGAAAAACTGTAGAATTGGATTCCATTAAAACTTTTCACTGTGCACTTTAGTCCAGTATTGGGAAACTAAAGCAGAAATTACATTTTACACTTTTGTTTGTTCCTGACTGACAAAACCATATTGTCGTTATTTTAGTACATTAGTAACATTGATAATATTTCAGAGAACATTCATTCTGTGAAAAATACAATCCCAAAAAACAGTATTTGACATTATTGATGCCATATTTTTGCTATTCAAATAACTCATTTAATACAGCATTTTTGTCATTTAGATATTACAGTTTTAACATGTTCAAAGTTTTCGTAACTTTTGGGGTTATAAATGAGGCACAAAGCCTCAATGAGTCTGAAATACCAAAACTCTTGGGACTCAGTTTCTACTAATTCCATTTTGTGGTAATATTTTTTTAAAATAATATGGTCTGATATTTCATCTAAAGATACTTTAAAGTTACTTTTTGAAATTTTCATTAGGGCCTGCAATAATACACCCTGGTTATCAACAGTTTTACATTATTCCTACGACAGCCAATACAAAGATGTGAAACTTACAAATCCCTGCAAGTTCAGTAAAAAAAAAAACATAAGTCCAACAATCTTCTAAGAAAGCAATAGAGAGTCCTGAAATGATTGAATGAACACAGCCCAACCGCAGGCACCGGAACAACATGTTTTGGAGGAAGAGCTGGACATCCGCACGCAACGTACACACACGCAAGCTTCAAATTGGACTTGTAACTGCCCTATTTCCAGCACATCAACAACTGTTGAGGGTGTACGTTTGTAGTTGAATAAAACATGGTATTCCCCTACACACGCTGTCGCACACATCACAGGGGAAACTAGGGGCTGAGTGGTTCTTGACTGTCTAAGCAGCATCCCAATTTGGTCCCAGCTACTAGTAGCTGACAGCCTCAAATATCTGGGGAGCATTTTTAAAAGGCCAGCGCTTGATGGATTCATGAAGAACACACAAATATAATTGCTATTTGTCCCAGAGTCTTCAGTGGCTGTGCCACACAGGGACCACACGGCGGAGTGCCTGAAGAGAACGGGAGTGCAGGGGTGGAGGGGGGTGGATCGCGTTGTATGTAAAACCGAGTATTCTGTATAAACACCTCGTTTTTGGCACAGAAAAATAGGTCCTACAGGAGGGAGCTGGAAACTGCACCAAAAAGAAAGAGAGAGAGGGAGAGAGAAAAAGGGAAAGAGAGAGAGAGAGAGAGAGAGAGAGAGAGGAGGAGGCCCTCACACACACATACACACACCCATCAAGGTGAAATATGCATACATGTACGCACGCATACATGTCAATTGAAACAAAGCTGTATAAACAAGCATTCTAAAATAGTTGGGCGCATGAAAATAGAGCACAAAAGGTCAAACAGGGCGGTATGGAGATTCTCATTTGCACAGCGCTGCATGAGGAGTCGCAGGTAAAGGCGTGGAGCAGATTGAACAATCACAGTGGAACCGCAGTTCTAAAGCTTGGTCCTTTTTAATATTAATGCCCCCGAGACGGGGAGAAACGGGCGAAAGGTGTTTGCTCAGGCTTATTAGAATGCCCATCATAGACAGCATACAGTTATTCAAATGTCACATCAGTCCCTCCAAATAAAACACCCCAATCCAGATCTTGTAGTCATCTCCTAATGGCCGTTATTACACAACGCAGCGAGTTTTGTGAGTTTACACTGAATAGAATATGCGATTGCCTTTACTGTTAGTTAGGAGCCACACAGGCAGGCCCCTGCGCCTTGTTTATCTTTTTATGCCAACGTATTAGAAAAACATGTA